CGGTATTATCAATTTGTATTTATCTCTCAATTGAATAAATGTAACGGTAGTTACCTCACCACTGTTAACAATATTTGACCCTCCTATTACATAAATATGTTAGTTAATTTAATATTCAAACTCGTGTACATGTTGCTCGAATTCGAGCAATTTCAAAGTAATACAGAATTTATTTCAAAACGAAAAAAAGTAATAATCAATGAGTTTAAAAGAGTCAACTCAAAGATCACCAGTGTGTAACTGCTGGAGATACTCACGATGTATATACAGTAATCAACATTTCCTGTAAATATTTTATCATATTTCATAAATTGGTATTGCTTTTTAATGTTTCTACAAATGTTTCCTGACTTATAGCTGCATAAGGTTGTCCATGTTTATCTTATTTATTGATAAACCTATGTATGGCACCACCCTTGTCGCCAGCAGTAAGTTTACAAATTTCAGTAATTTTTTAATAAAGATAAACACTTTTTTGATCATATTAAGGACTTCCTGTTGTCTGTAACAATTTTATTTGTTCAATCGGCGTATTTTTATTTATTTAGCTAAATAAAACATTTATTTCATTGAAGTAAACTAATATAGGCCTATTTATATTCACTGTACTGTGTATAACAAAATATCGATTGAGAAACAAACAATTACACGTAATAAGAACCTCGCTAGTCCGCTGCATTGTGATAGCTGAAAATCGTCGGAATGAAAACCGCCGCTACAAGATACAGAAGTTGGTACGCCTGCAGTGCCCTCCACAGCTGCGCGCGCCGCTGGCACTGCCGCTCAACACATCCCCACCTAAAAGACGAGCAAGTGGTAAGTCGGTCGGGAGGATTGACGACAAGTTGGTTTCTCGTATATAATAATTTAGATTTACAGGCCGGTCAACTGGACTGACGATGAAATAACTTGTCGACGTACTGGTTTTCAGTATTTATCTATTTAATTAAAAAAGACGGTCTAGTGGCAAGACGACCAAGTATCTTGTCGGTCAACTGGTGGCCCCCCGTGCAGAAGGGCACGGTGCCTATTTGAACCATGTCCATATTTTGTTAAATTAATAGTAGTTTACAGCAACTGGATAAAACATTTTACAATATTTATGTAGAAATATTTGCATGATAAAAAAAGTCATTAAGCTGGAAAACTGCAATATACTGCAGACTTTTCAGAGAGGTTACTTCGATGTATTCATTCAGCTTAGTGAAAACATAATATAGATACGTACCTATACAAATAAGAACTTGAATTCTTAGAGAGCCTTTGAATGTTATTAGACTAACGAAAAGGGTTGTGCATGTTTACTAGCGCTACTTTGCAACAAAAACCATTTAATTTATCTCCAAAATATATATTCTTAAAGTGCACTGATCAGCAGAAAAAAAAATCTATGTAACTTACCCATATGTTATTGAAAATAACACAACATTTTGGCTGTAAATATGGCCCAATGAGTAAATAATATTTAAACAGCTACTGTCATGAAAGAAAGGTCATATTTCTTTTAAACTAGATCACATCATCCTTTATAAGATACGTTGATTAACAATGTATGTAAACGTCAATATTTACGTAACAGAAAATTTACAGTATTTTTGCTTTTTGGAAATGTCCCATTGCTATGTCATTTGCATTATTTGTTGTCAATGAAGCCGCATATAAATGAGGAGGCCCCTAACAGTTTAAGAATAAAAGCCAACTTCAATTCAAGTATATTCCACTATACCTCACATTACGTAGAGAGATTATATTGACAACTTTATGTAATTGATATGGCTGAGACAGCTAACTGACATCCCCCATGTCAAGGAATTCCAGCTTTAACAGTAACCCCACAACAAATTTCTCAAAACTGTGATAGAGGGTTATTCATTAGCACAGAAGTACGATATGAACTGACGCGACGTGACGAAGGAAAAATCAAACTTACACTGTAATGGATATCTCCCTTTGAAGTTAGAATGTGTCTTCCCAACAAACAGATATTTTTTTCAAATAAAATCATAGATTAATCTGCATTACACTGATGAAATCACGGAAGTGTTTAACTACAAAAGATCCACCAATACGATTTTAATACTATTTAAAGTTTAATCCAAACGATGAGATACCAGATAATATACTAATAACTCCGATGACGTACAGTATGTGAGATATTTTATTCATTGAATGATCAACCATATTTTGGTAACTATCATTATTGTTTTTACACTTATTAATCTTTAACACGTTCGCTACTGCAATAGTACGAAATTTTCCATTCACATGGACCAGCGACGCACATATGCGACGGCCGGTTTTGTTTCCACCCATAGACTGCTGTCGCATATATGCGACGGCTAGTCACATTAAAATAGACTGCCGACGCATATTTGCGTCGGGGTTCTAATGTTATTAAAATGCTTATATCTTTGTAGTGGTCTATTTGAAGACACTGAATACCCTGCAGTGGTCTACAGAGATGTCTGACGCACAACTGCGTCGCTTGGTCTGTGGATATGATGATTGGTGACGTCATATAATAGTTGGAAAATCTGGTCTTTACTTTTTTGCAACACTGTATGTATGTATGCGGTATGTATGCTGCATTATCCTATGTAGCTTTTATATTTGTTCAGTTATAAACTGTTCTTGAATAATCTGTTTATTTTTTACTTACTTTTACCTTAAAACACCAAAAAATGAACTGTCGCATATATGCGACGTTTAGTCTATTTTAAGAAAACTGTGATAATTTTCACTATTGTCTTCGCTGTAGACCGGGCGTCGCAAATATGCGACATTACAAAAGGTTTTAAAAAATACAAAGAAACAAGAATAATTTATTCACAAACACGATTGTAGCGTATTACAATGTAAATGATCACTGTTTTACAGGTTTTCGCCCGTGGTCTGTGTGTACTGTTATCCAAGTGACAGCCGGTCTATGTGTAAGATTCAAATGTATACCTCGGTCTGTGGCAATGACCGCGGCGTCGCATATATGCGACGCTCAGTAGCGAACGTGTTAAACAATGCTAAATGCTCAAAATATGTACAAATTCACTCAATTTATCGCAGTTAGATGAATTAGCGTAATCCTTGAAAATAACCGTCGATTTCGACGGGTTTCACCTAGTTTATAATATTAGTAGGATTAGTAGGATTGAACTATCTTATATCTATTGTACGGGTTGGTGTCTGCCTTTTTCACCACTTTTGCCTACATTTTATCATATTATTCTACACATATCAAATATTTATGCAGAAATATCTGCTCTTACCGTGTTTAATAAAATCCAAACATAGAAACCTTGCCTAAAATGGTACCCATCTTGACAAATCATTTGAACCTGCCTATATTACGGACTTGTAGTAGTGCCACTTATGATTGTGGCTTATGACTATGGCCACAGCCACCTCCATGGCACTTATGATTATGGCACATGATTGCGGCCCGCGGGAGAAGTTCTTGATTTTTAGCCCTGGCCGTGGGAGACGTTCTAGAATTAGCCGCTGTCGTGAGTTGTCAATGATAATGTCCCCGAGATTGCGGCCCGCGGGAGACGTTATAGAATTAGCCGCTGTCGCGAGTTGTCAATGATGATGTCCCCGTGATTGCGGCACGCGGGAGAAGTTCACGATTTAGCCATGGCCGAGGGAGACGTTCACGATTTAGCCATTGCCGCGGGAGACGTTATAGAATTAGCCGCTGTCGCGAGTTGTCAATGATGATGTCCCTGTGATTGCGGCCCGCGGGAGAAGTTTACGATTTAGCCGTGGTCGTGGGAGACGTTCTAGAATTAGCGGTTGTCGCGAGTTGTCAATAATGATGTCCCCGTGATTGCGGCCCGTGGGAGAAGTTCATGATTTAGCCGCTGTCGCGAGTTGTCAATGATGATGTCCCCTCGGCTGCGGCCCGCGGGAGACGATCACGATTTAGCCGTGGCCGCGGGTGCTGGTGATGTGTCCTCATGATCGAAGCCCGTGGGAGACGTTCAAGAATTAGCCGCTTTTGCGAGTGTCGATGAAGAAGTCCCCGTGATTGTGGCCCGCGAAAGATGTTCATGATTTCATCAACGATCACGGGTGTCGATGATGATGTCTCTTTGATGCATATGTGATATTCACGATTACTTCCGCATTCGCAAGGAATTTCCACCACAGGGGGAGGGCCGCTCAAGTAATTTGGTCTAGGGCCGCAAGTACCCTAAATCTGGTACTGGCAACAAGCAGCAAAACAGACGAAACGAAACAGTTACAACAAGTAAAATATATAGACAATGGTAAAAGCTAGTGCGCATGCGATTTTTACTAACAGACGCTCGTACTATAACTCTGGAACTGGATTCTCTTCAGTCCAAGCCTAATCAATCAGCACCAAAAAGCGCTACCCTCCTGGGTATTTACTCAAGGGAGGTATAGAAGAGCCTTCGATGACGTCAGCTGTCAGATCTTTTCTCTTGAGGGAACACCATTACCGCAAAGGAACTCAGCATCGGCCTCGGTGGTGTAGTGGATAGCGTATCGGGCTGACCATCTGAAAGTGCCGGGTTCGAATTCCGCTGGTAGCATTAACTTTTTGTCAACATTTTTTTTGTTCATATCAGCAAGTTTGGTCGGCTTGGTTAGGTTATGACAGTTTATTTTATAAATAACAAATTATAAAATTGAATTTGAGGCATTTACAATTTTATTTTATGAACAAAACTATTTTTTCGATTAGAGTACTTAAAACCCATCATTCGATTTTTTCATTATCAGCAAGTTTAGTTAGTTTGGTTAGGTTGTGACGGTTAAATTTAATAATTGAAAAATTATAAGATTACTTTTATAATTTCTCTTAATTTTATAACTAAATAATAGTGAAATAAAAAATTACGCGCTGTGCTCTCTACTACAACGCTGTTAACGGAGGATTTTTGAACTGAACCATGACGACATCGTTGCCTCAATTATACCTCCCGTAAGTCAGTCAGACCCCACCTCACCTCCTGCACCTCTGCTCCTGCTGTGAGTGCTGTGGTGCTGTCTGCTCTCCTCTCCTCCCTCGGTCACGGTCATTGTTATTTATTATTATAAGTTTAAGGTTAAGGTTAGTTTAGTAGAAGCAGGAAGGAGATACAAAATATGTATTTTGAAATCTTGAGATAGAGGTAACTTAGTTATTTAACATTCGACTCTTTATTTTGTACTGTTATCAACATGTCTAGATTTGTGTTTAATGTGGTCAAAAATGGGATCACCTACACTACATCATCGTCTACTTTTTTAGTCAAGCCTAGTGTACAATTTAATCACTCTCTGAGATGGTACAGACCTAGAAAGCCTTTTTGGCTGCCCATAGCAAAAACAAAGATGTTCCGAATACCAGTCAAACCACAAATACCAGAAGACGAACTCAATGAAATTACTAGGCTCTATAATGTCTACAGAACACAGATGAAATCTGTTAGGTAAGTTTATCGCTAAGTTCCAGTTCCCTATTCGGCTTGCCCTCCCGTAGGCCTAAAATGCCTATTGTAGGCCTAAATGCCATATTTACCTATGAAACACTATGGTGGCATGGTTCTGTGTTATTCATGTAATTTTTCAGCCTTTAAAAAAATATCTCACGATCTCCCATTAGCTTGTCATGGATAAGTGGTGGGGTGGGAGTAAATGAGAGGTATTTTCATTGCTCTTTTAAAAATGAGTTGCCGAATCACATTAGGCCTAAATAGATTACGTGATTAGTACCTAGAGGCTGCACTTTACTTTACATCCTACAATCATTCGAACGAAACTATCGATTGTTCGATTGTTTCATTCGATATATCGTTTGGTTAGTTAGGTTAGGTTAACCTTACCTAATTAACCAAACGATATAACTTATCGAACAATCGATATATCGATCGATATTTTCATTCGAATGAGTGTAGGACGTAAAGTAAAATGCATAGGCCTATAAAGTTATTTATAAACAGTACTATAACTCCAACTATTTAGGCCTGTGCCAGTATTTGTATCTTTCCGATAAAGAGAGGTACCTGAACACCACTCCGCCGCAAATCGAGCAATGGGAACTTGTTAAGTGGTAAAAATTTAGGACCCAGACCCCAGCTTAAAAATCTTTTCAAGTGTGAAATTGTGTAAAAAGTGTATAAAATGAAGTTTTGGAGGATAATAATTGGGGGAATTAAGCAATTCCAGTCCCAAATATTGACTGGAAATTATTAAAACCGACCCTAACAACAGTTCCTCCAAAACCTCAATATACACCAATTTTACACAATTCCACACTTCAAGAATGTTGGATTCACTACATCGATGTGAAAAATTCACAAGGAATATGCACTCAACATATAAATTACTGCTGTCTCACTCAAAGTCAAAGATAACCAAAACCGGCTAGCATGGAGAGCACCATGTCTTTGGTTGACCGATAGCCAACCATCAACAGCAACTAGCCTACAACAAAAATTAAAATCACTTCCAACAAATACATATATTGATAGGTATCCACATATAATCCCCCCCCCCCCCCCCCGTTTTCTACAATGTCCGAACGCGATTTTCGGACACAATCAGAATGAAAATTAAACACAAATTTGAGCTATGTCCTCCTTGGTCACTACTTCACTTTGAACTAACAACATGGAGTCATGGAGACGGTTCAAAACAAACAACTAACAACGTAACCACCAGCCAATCATATTACTACACGAAAGAAATCATTTGCCAATCAGAAATCTGCACAATTAAATCATCTGTTGATCTGTTTTACCACAAACCAAAACAATAGCAATGCAGTTGCAGTGACAGTTGCACTGTACCACAATTCCCCCAAGAATTCCCTCAATTTAACCTGAATTCCCTCTGTTGTAAAATCCCGTTTTTAATAGCAAAGTACTGCAGTTAAGATTTCAACATGTAGATCTTATGAACACTCACTTGTTGAGAAAAAAAATAATCGTTGATTATGAAATGAAACTGTTCTAAACCAACCAAACTTGCTGTATGATTTTATGACGAAAAAATAATAGTTCATTATGAAATGAAACTGTTCTAAACTAACCAAACCAACCAAACTTGCTGTATGATTTCATGAGGAAAAAATAATGGTTCATTATGAAATGAAACTGTTCTAAACCAACCAAACCAACCAAACTTGCTGTATGATTTCATGAGGAACAAATAATTATTGATTATGAAATGAAACTGTTCTAAACTAACTAAACCAACCAAACTTGCTGTATGATTTCACGAGGAAAAGATAATGGTTCATTATGAAATGAAACTGTTCTAAACTAACCAAACCAACCAAACTTGCTGTATGATTTCATAAATCGGTTTTATAAGAGAACTCGTTAGCTAGATATACAACCAAACAGTAAAGTACAAACCATGAAACTAAATAACAAATAAGAGAAAGCTATTAATAAATCAGATAGTAGACACCAGTGCACCCAATGTCACCAACACGAACTACTGTAAACACGATAAACGACTAACCACTTGTGTTGGTTAATTCCAGAGATATGTTTATTTAATTATTAATTCCATACTCCTTGTTATATCTATGTATTCGTAACATATGTCTGAAGAAATATCGATATAAATTCGGTTCGATATATCGTTTCAAAAATATTTTTATTTTCAATGTAAACAAACATGGAAATAGGTTATGATATGTTTATATGTTTTATTGGTGTTTTGAATGTGCATGCACTCACGATCGGTGTCCCTTTTTAATGAACTTGAATAAATAAAACTATCAATAGGGGTATTCAAACAAAAGAAGACTGAAAACTTAACTTCACGTTTTAGAGGATTCTTAAGAATAGGCTATCCACATAGGTGATGGGTGTTACACCACTTTTTATTGACCTGTTTAAATATTTTTAAAGCCGTTTTTTGACTAAATAGGCTATAGTATAAAATAAACAAACAACTTTTTTCACCTTGTTATTGTTTTTATTTATGGTACAATACAATTCTGATGGTCTTCCTGTCACTGCCAGCTCTGCTCGTTGCTCGTCGTCGTCGGCGGCAAAGGAAAGTACCCATTTATACAGACTAATTTCCCATTCTTGCTGGGTAATTAGGCTACCTATAAATTACCCGTTTACCCGTAGAATTACCCTTTTCTCCCCATAATTAACCACGTTTTATCTCCCCCACCCAAAACCCCGAATTCCCACCGGCCCCCTAGTGAGTTGGGATTATTGTTTATATATTTAATTAAAAATAAAAGGTCTCGGCGCCAAAAAATTCTTTAATAAAGTTGTAGTATTAATTGATGTCATAGAATAGTTTAAAAGTTATTTTAGAACGTTTAAGCTGGGGTCTGGGTCCTAAATAAGTACCTGTTAAGTTCATATTTAAGTAATAGAAAACAGATTGTTGTAATTAAGGATACCACTTCTGAAATGCTTAATGTAACGGCTGGGGTTCCCCAAGGCTCCATTTTAGGGCCTTTGTTGTTTCTTGTATTTGTAAACGATTTTAGTTGCAATATTCCAGTACTGAGTGTGTTGTATGCTGATGCTCAACTCAACAATGCCTTGTCAACCGCAAAGTCATGGTACTTAGCCAACAATCTAACTTTAAATGAAGATAAAACCTAATTCCTGTACTTTTCTTTGAAAAATCAACTGTGCAATAACCTCACTAAACCTGTCAAACTCCTTGGTATCTCTCTAGATAGTAAATTGATTTGGGAAGAACATGTTTCTCAACTTTCTAAAAAGCTGTCTCGTATTGTCCACCTGTTAAGAAAGCTTCAGCACAGTGTCAAATTAGAAGTTCTTCTGATGACATATTTTGGTCTCTTCCACTCACAAATTAGCCATGGAATTCGATTGTGGGGAAACCCTGCTGCCTCCAACAAAATATTCACTTGGCAAAAAAAACTATCAGGACTATTATGGGTCTTACTAAACCTGAATCTTGTAAACCTAGTTGTATTCAGCTCAATATTATTGAACTTTGCCATCACTGTATATTTTTTCCAACCTTATGAATGTAAAAGAAAATTTAGTTAACTTTCCCATGCAGCACAGCAATCATCATCACAACACTAGAACTAAGTTAAGCACAATATTGTTACACCTTATATTATATTAAGTAAAACCTTCAAAAGTTACCATTATCAACAGTATCTATTGTTCAATAAGTTACCATTAGAAAATAGAACTCTGTCTGTAAATAATTTTAAATTGTATGTAATGACATTCTTTTCTTTTATTGTAATGACAAATGCCTTTTACACTGTAGAAGATTTTTTAAACTTGTAGGTTAAGGTTAAGCCACCAACGTCATGTGGATAAAGTAGTATCTAAGTTGAAACACTCAAAAAATGCTACATACAACCATTTACAACCCTATGTGTTGTACGTACTGTTTGACGTTGCCTATTACTGTAATAAGTTTAATGGCATTAATAAATTCTTATTGAGTCTTATTGGGTAGGCCTAACTTATTTTAAGTGGAAAATCTTGTGAAAATTATATTTTTCTGTTAACTTATTTTGAGGTTTTATATACTGTAGAAAAATCACATTTGAAAATAAACATTTCTAAACAATGGGAAAAATCACTTAAAAAAACCATGGATCAGTAGGCCTGCATTCCAAATGTATGCCTAATAAAAATCAGACCACAGGCGTGGTCTGTTAAACTTAGATCTATACACATCCACAACACATACAGACAACACTTTGAACACTTTTTTTGTTTCAGGGGGGACTAAAATGGATATATCAAACCCAAAAATGTTTACGAAAATAATACTTTCTCCATATAGGTCTATCACATATATGGTATCAGCAATCTGAACCATACTTTCTCCCATAAGCTCGTCAACAACCTTTATCATGGGTAAGCGGCAGGAGTCTATGATATTTTATTGGGAAAAATGACAAAACCTGCAATAGCTTTTGAACCGTAATTGTTACAGCAATGGGGGGTTGCACTATTTTCCATTAGAATTATAAGGGCCATAACCCATCAATTTTAATCAAAACCGGCTTTTTCCTAAAATTAGATTTTTATTATTTTATGATTTTTAAGGGCAAATAACATAAGTTACAATAACTCTTGAACCATAATTTTTAGAGAAATGGGATTCGTACAGTTTTGTTCGAAATTTGAAGAAGGCTAGCATAATTTTTTATTAAATCCTTCAACCAGTTTTGAGAAAATTAATTTTCATTATTTTATGGGCTTTTATGATAAAACTAAGTTACCATTAAAAATCTAAATTTAAAAAATTTAGAAAACGCCTGGAGATAGTATGGATTAGTACCTGCATACCAAATTTCATAGAAATCGGACTAAGTAGTGTAGTCTGTAGCTTTGTACACACATCCACACACACAGACACACACAGACATCACTTCGAAAACCACTTTTTTGGGTTCAGGGGGATCCAAAAAGGAATCGGCTCAAAACTCAAACTAAAAATTAAGACGAAAACAATATTTTTTTCCATAGTAGAGGGGAGAAAGTAAAATGGGCATAATTCAATCGTTAAATAATTTAAGAAGTTCAAAGTGAGAATGTTACAAATCATGTGGCTACACAGTTAAAATAGTTTACATGTTTGTACTCATAAAATCATTTGTTTTAGAGCCTACTTTAAAGAGTATTTAATGTCGCAAACAACTGCACCAGAAGTCATTGCAGAGCAAAAGCAGAAGGAAGCGGAACAACATGCGTGGTGTATTAAAGAAAATGACTTGTGGAATATTGAGGTTGCCCAAGTCTCGTGAAGTAGATTGGCCCAAAATGCCATTGAAAGGGAAAAGGCTATATTAGACAAAATATTAACTCATGAACAAAAACAAAAGGAACTGGTCGGTAAAATAGATGAGCACATAAGAATGGAGAAGGTAATTTTTACAATTATTTTTTATTCTACCCCTAGTGTTACTTAGCTAGTTTACAAGAGCACTCTTATTTTAGAAAATATCAATAGCCTCCTCTAATAGTCCAGTAAATCTGTCAGAAAATAAGGGGTTGCTGTGCAAAAGGTCGGGTAGTTCTGATTTTTTTATATGTTGTTAGTATTGGGCCCATAACATAAAATCCAAGTTATCCACCTCGAGATACTGCCCGCTCGCCGCGGGGCACGCCACTTGTTATCGAAATATTAAAAATATGGCAATTCCTATTGTTTTTCACTCAATCTCGCGAACCGTTGATTTTACCAAAAATTGTATATTATTACATTAAAGAAGAATAAATTTGTGACAGTTTAAGCCCAACAGCAAGTATGTAGCGTAAATAATAGTAAAAATACAGGCCATCAAAATAAATACATTTTCCAAAGACTTATAAAAATTGTGTTTTTTTCAATATTTCCACAATATAGTTGTTTGAAGCAAACACCGTATTGATTTAGAGAGTATGCAGTTTATTTGCTATTAATAGAAAATAAATGAAAGTATGAATACAAATACCCCCACCTCAGCAAACCTTGCAGACTGAGCGAATTTCCATTTGCTTGATTTGATTTTCACGAACCTATTTAAATAACATTAGGTTTAACTGGTACCTAGGTTTGCTGCTACAGGGAGAGTAATATAGTATATAAAATAATAATAGTATGATAAGAAACAAATAAATTTACCCAATTTTATAAAAAAAGTGTCTATAAATAAGGAAAAAACAATAATTAAAATCTTCGCTATTGGAATAACTTGAGGTTTTTTAATTTACATTTTTTAATTTTCTCCGTAACCAATAACTGTGAAAAACATTTTAATGTACTAAATTATTTGTTTTTAAGTTCTACAAAATGGTTTAGAGATACATTGTAAAATTGTATGTTTTGAGGGTCAAAATACGAAAAACCCGTTCTTAACAAAAAACCTTATAAAACAACCGTTCCCATGGCCTGATCATGCTTCGAGAACTCGTTTAAATAAATGTAGGTTTACATGCCGAAAAACAGACCTTCAAAATATACCTTCAACGGCAAAACTACTCTTCACAAAGCTGTCAAATGTTTATATACATAAACATTTAAGATAAGCTTTGGGTACAATACTTTCACATGAAAACAAAATAAAACCGTTTAACATGGTTAACAGTTTATTGAGGCTGAAAGATTAGGCAAATAAGATCTTCCAATTACAATCACTCTACAGATCTTCCATGCAGCGGGTCATTTTTCCACGCCAAGTGCGCCCATCTATACAGGACATGCTAAATATGAATTGAAATACAGGATTGATATTGAAGAACACAACAAATTCACAAAGATCGGAAATTTCACTACAAGACGTACAGACAAGCTCTGGTCTGGAATTTGGTCTGATTAGGCCATCGAACAGGCCCTCATAAAGACAATGAAAAGCTCTGGTGGATTGACTCGAGGACGAGGGATAACAGAAAAAATGCTGTAACTTGATGGGCGCTTGGGATGATCCGTCCTCATCAAATCTGTAGGAAGTAGAGAAATATTATAAATGACGTCAGTTGAACATTAACAGTGAGCAACATGTTGACGTGCGCCATTCTCGCATTGCTCGAGACAACGAAATTGATGAAAAGATTAAATAGTGGTTTCCTCAACACACACCATTCAATATAAACTAGTGTACCTGTTGCTCAAATTCGAGCAATTGCATTACAGGCGACTCAAAGATTATGGAAATACTCACAATCTACACAACAGTTAGTTGTAATCAAAATATTTTGTAAATAGCCGTTCTCTCAATTAGCTGGGACAAAAACCCAGTTTTTCCTCCATAAGAATAACATGGGATGGGAATTCAAAGGCCACTTGGGGCAGAGCCCCAAGGGAATTTACCACGTTTCTCTTTGATGGCTCATCTACAGACCAAGACCTTTCTTTAGACACCTCTACCGAGTTTCTACACCCAGCCGTTCTCTCAAAATAGCTATGACAAAGAAAAACAGTTTCAAATTAATATATAGATGATATGCTGATTATTAGCAAATTTCCCTTATAGGGAATACGCTATTACAGTAGGTCTCATGGTAAGACCTAGACCCGGGACCGATTTGCTTTTTCATTTTGGCATTCCTAGAGGCCAAAAATACTGTTGGTTCAAATTGTTATATCATATATAAATATATGTATATATATAATATATAAATTGCTATACACCATAAACCTTTCTATAGACTTTCATTAACTTAGGCCTACAAAATTCCTTTGGCTATTAAGTTAGCCCACATTGAACTCAAAGTCATTTCTTTCTTAATAAAGATAATTCCTAATTTGTGTTTTATTTTTGTCTAATGAGGTAATAGTCCAGTAAAATAAGACATTTTGGTATGCAAAAGATCGGGTAGTTCTGATTTTTGGATATGTTGTTAGTATTGGTCCCATAACATAAAATCCAAGTTATCCACCTCGAGATACTGCCGCTCGCCGCGGGGCGCGCCACTTGTTATCGAAATATAAAAAAATATGGCAATTCCTATTGTTTTTCACTCGTTCTCGCAAACCGTTGATTTTACCGAAAATTTTATATTATTACATTAAAAGAGAATAAATTTGTGACAGTTTAAGCCCAACAGCAAGTATGTAGCGTAAATAATGGTCAAAATACAGACCATCAAAATAAATAAATTTTTCAAAGACGTATAAACATTTTGGTTTTTTTTTTTCAATATTTCCACAATATAGTTGTTTGAAGCAAACACCGTATTGATTTAGAGAGTATGCCAGTTTATTTGCTATTATTAGAAAATAAATGAAAGTATGAATAAAATACCCCCCTCAGCAAACCTGCAGACTAAGCGAATTTCCATTTACTTGATTTGATTTTAACAAACCTATTAAATAACATTAGGTTTAACTAGTACCTAGGTTTGCTGCTACAGGTAGGGTAATATAGTACTGTATATCTTTTAATAAAATAATAATAATATGATAAGAAACAAATAAATTTACCCAATTTTATAAAAAAATGTGTCTATAAATAAGGAAAAAACAATAATTAAAAATTAAAAACCTTCGCTTTGGAATAACTTGAGGTTTTTTAATTTAAATTTTTTAATTTTCTCCGTAACCAATAACTGTAAAAAACATTTTAATGTACTAAATTATTTGTTTTTAAGCTCTACAAAATTCTTTAATGATACAATTGTAAAATTGTATGTTTTGAGGGTTAAAAATGAAAAAAAAAATTTTTACTGGCAAAATATCTATAATTCAACCGTTCCTATGGCCTTAACATGCCGATCATGCTTCGCGATCTCGTTTTAATAAATAAATGTACGTTTACATGATTCAATTATTCAATGATTTATTTGGCCATCAAGCAAAAGCAATAAGGCTAAGTCACTTACAATACAAAGTAAATGATAAATAGTCCATCTCTTGATTCACAAATAAAAGTAATGTTTGTACCAAATTCCACTAAATCGGATGATTTTTGGGAATCATCGTGCTAACGGACGATAATAACTTTTTTGGATACAGTTTAGTAACATCTTTAGTTTTTTTTTATACAAGGGTCTCCAAAAAACTCACCTAGTTTGAAAATGTATTTATTTATTGTACTAGATACAAACTACTGTTCAACGACTGATACCATAGAGAAGGCTATGCTGATACATTAAATGAAAGGTAATAAAATAAAAGTTATTTTAACACTATCACACCTCAATATGCGAACCATTTGTAGCCCTGCAGACATGGAAGCTATTTTTACTTATTTTTATCATTAATATTTTATTATTTGTATTATAATTTATGAACAAAACTATGTTCAAGGTCAAATAGGTTTACGCAACTTATTGCCTACGTACGAAACTAAAGTTTTTAAGTAGCCTATACTCTACACAGCACGAAATGATTATTACTCATCCATTTGAACAATAGTATCGTGAGGTATGTTTAAAACTATGGAGTCTTTTTCGGACACCCGGTATAGGCCTATATACATATATATTTATATATGTTATAACTATTTGAACCAACAGTATTTTTGGCCTCTAGGAATGCCAAAATGAAAAAGTAAATTGGTCTCGGGTCTAGGTCTTGCCATGAGACCTACTGTAATAACGTATTCCCTATAAAGAAAATTTGCTAATAATCAGCATATCATTTATATTGAATGGTGTGTGTTGAGGAAACCACTATTTACTCTTTTCATCAATTTCGTTGTCTCGAGCAATGCGAGAATGGCGCACGTCGCTCACTGTTAATGTTCAACTTACGTCATTTTTTATAATATTTCTCAACTTCCTACAGATTTGATGAGGACGGATCATCCCAAGCGCCCATCAAGTTACAACATTTTGTCTGTTATCCCTCGTCCTCGAGTAAATCCACCAGAGCTTTTCATTGTCTTTATGAGGGCCTGTTCGATGGCCTAATCAGACCAAATTCCACACCAGAACTTGTCTGTACGTCTTGTAGTAAAATTTCCGATCTTTGTGAATTTTTTGTGTTCTTCAATATCAATCATGTATTTCAATTCATATTCAGCATGTCCTGTATAGATGGGCGCACTTGGCGTGGAAAAATGACCCGCTGCATGGAAGATCTGTAGAGTGATTGTAATTTATTTATTTATTTATTTCCCAACGGTTTACACCAGTTTACAAGAATGTATACAATATTGAAAGATGGCAAAATACATGCAACAGTGAGTGGTAACAGCAAGAACATAAAATTAATGAACAACAATTAACAAGCAACAAGTAAATAGATTCTATATAATAACAATCTTGAATAACAATAACAATAGCAATAACAAAAATAACAAAATAGACAAGGAAAGACGATAAGTTAACAATAAAAATTAGAAGCAGTGAAGATGGTTTTGGATAATAATACAATGTGGCAAAAAATTTGATTTAACAAAAACATAGCATGAGAGGTGATACTTGGCAGCAACAACAGGAACGATTAATTATGACTAGAGCTAAGGAAGGTAAGATTATACAGTTAGTGACTAGAATTATTATCACTTAAGCAGGGAGGCGACTTTTCTCCGGAACGAGGACAATGAGTCGTGGAAGAAGTCCAGGTTCAGCCTCAATAAACTGTAAACTACGTTAAACTGTTTTATTTTGTTTTCATGTGAAAGTATTGTACCCAAAACTTAGCTTAAATGTTTATGTATAAACACTTGACAGCTTTAGGAAGAGTACTTTTGCCGTTGAAGGTATATTTTGAAGGTCTGTTTTTCGGCATGTAAACCTACATTTATTAAAACGAGTTCGCGAAGCATGATCAGGCCATGGGAACGGTTGCTTTATAGGTTGTTTTTTTTTTAAGAACGGGGTTTTCATATTTTTGACCCACAAAACATTTTACAATGTATCTCTAAACCATTTTGTAGAGCTTAAAAACAAATAATTTAGTACATTAAAATGTTTTTTACAGTTATTGGTTACGGAGAAAATTAAAAAATTTATTTTAAAAAACCTCAAGTTATTCCAAAGCGAAGATTTTTAATTATTGTTTTTTCCTTATTTATAAACAAATTTTTATAAAATTGGGTAAATTTATTTGTTTCTTATCATACTATTATTATTTTATATGCTATATTACCCTCCCTGTAGCAGCAAACCTAGGTACCAGTTAAACCTAATGTTATTTAAATAGGTTTGTGAAAATCAAATCAAGAAAATGGAAATTCGCTTAGTCTGCAGGTTTGCTGAGGTGGAGGTATTTTTATTCATACTTTCATTTATTTTCTAATAATAGCAAATAAACTGGCATACTCTCTAAATCAATACGGTGTTTGCTTCAAACAACTATATTGTGGAAATATTGAAAAAAAACGACAATTTTTATACGTCTTTGAAAAATTTATTTATTTTGATGGTCTGTATTTTGACCATTATTTACGCTACATACTTGCTGTTGGGCTTAAACTGTCACAAATTTATTCTCTTTTAATGTAATAATATAAAATTTTTGGTAAAATAAACGGATCGCGAGAACGAGTGAAAAACAATAGGAATTGCCATATTTTTGATATTTCGATAACAAGGTAGATAACTTGGATTTTATGTTATGGGCCCAATACTAACAACATATAAAAAAATCAGAACTACCCGACCTTTTGCACAGCAACCCCTATATTTTCTGACAGATTTACTGGACTATAAGTCTTTGTCTTAATCTTATAATTATGAATTATTCTAAGAATAAATAGATTTGGTAAGTTACAATATATAATTTATTAATGAAATACAAATATAAGATAAGTTATTGGTTGAATTAGCTACAGGGTAAGTTAACAATGGTAAATGATTCAAGATTAGCAAGACGTTAGATCAAAGAGGGAGGGCACTGAATGGCTCAACTGCTAGATAGATAAAGATAACACGTGGTACAGACACGACCAGCTACACCGCGACTCAGCACAGAAAGCTTTGTTGACATAAAGTTCCAAAGCTCGTTTAAATACAATCAAGTAGCATAGGCTACAATACTTTACACTATTGTGTAGATACTCGATTACCTGAGTTTATAGGGGGTGGGGGGGGGGGGGGTAATAAAAAATATGGTTAATCCAATAGTATAAAAACAGATGACAAACCCATTAAAACGCTGTAAACAGCCATTAACGTCACGATTTGCATTTTTATTAACAAAATTCAACATTGCACAATCATTATTATTGTGCAATAATGACATATCAAATCATTTATCTTGGTTCAGTTGTACAAACGGCAGCGTTTAAAATTATAGCTAGGCCTAACTCAAACTCAACTAATAACTAGCCAAACACTGCATTGCTATAAATAACGTAAATATAAAACCTTAGAAAGTGTTATAAGCTACTGATCATGATAGACAGATAGGCTACCGGTAGGTGCTGTATCACAGCATAATAATTGATAGATAAGTCATAAAAAAGTTTAAAATTATATGTAGAGATAATAAAAACACTCTTAAAAAGAATGTAAGGAGAACAACAATCTTGTTTTTATTTTTCTTTGTTCTTCTTTTCTTAATTAGGTTTCTCTCCAATTCATACAAAAATTCAATAAGTCGCCATATTTAGGCCTACTCATTGCCCAATCACAGCATTACTAAAGTTACCATGGTTACTAATCACAGTTTACTAAGCATTATATCGTCATCATTTCCCAGCTGTTGTATCTGAAATCTGTTGTAACATAGCGCACAGCAGACAGAAGTGTAAAACAGAGCAGACGATTGTTGGTGCAAGTGTTGTTTCCATTTCATTTTCATCAAAGGAGCTGTGATGTTTCCAAAACGATTATGTGGGAGGGAGAGGGGGTCGTTATATCAAGAGAAAGACGCTGACAATTCGTTAGCAGAGGTTACGAACGCTTTATAGATATTCTGACAATACAAAATTAATTAAATTGAGGTGACTTATAAAACTCTAATTTTATTTGTATAGAAAGATAAATTTTCCAGTCCTGTACAACACTGATTCATGGACTTTTCCCGGTAATCAAAATTCAAGTACAACAAGTACACACAGAATCTCCGGTTCCCGACCTGGATGATGGCTAGTTATTTAATTCAATTTACAGTTACATAGGTATTATAGTACCCGTGATAAATCAAACCCGTTATGTAAGCCACAGGGTTATTAATCTCACTTGGTTTTGGATTTTCTTACAAACGTGGTAGGAAATGGTTGGGGCCTACACAGTATTCGTAAACAACACTTATATAAACCAGTGATAGCTAGAAAAAGGAATCTTTATCAAAACAGATGTTCGTAATTTCATATATGACGTGTTCTCTTAACAGATTATTAGTATTTTATAAATGACGTATATAGTAAACATGGAGAAAAAAGCTTGAAAAATCACTCAAAATTGGGTTTTTGATCGTCCGTTATTTTATTTTCCAAAATAGTGAGGCCAACTTTTAATGGCTAAGAATACTCTTAGCCCATTGCTGTAAAAATTACGGTTTACAACCTTTACAAGTTATTGCATCTTTTGTGATTTTCCCCATGACTTATCAAAAAATTTACTCTCACCACTTACCCATGTCCCATGATAAGGGTTGTTGACAAGCTAATGGAACAAAGTGTGTGTCAGATATTGTGCTTTTACTGTTTATTTAATGGTGGCATAACAAACAAGAAATTACCCTCCTTAATGTTCAATATTCTATTTTTATTTGGTGGCTTTTATTAGTAACCAAGTAGCGTAAAAACCAGTTAAAAAAATCCATATTCATAAATTTACCCTGGACCGCCGGATGTTTGCTATCTATTGCACCCCCCTGTTCCAAATCCTGCGGGCGCCCATGGTTAGGTTACTATATGAATGTGTACAAACAGATTTACGGTATTACTTTTTAATATAGGTTATTATATTTTAAATTAAGACTAGTACAAAATGATGTATTTCTAGATTTTTGCCAATATTTGCAGCCGATGTGCGACCGGAAGATATCAACATACAATACCATTATTTAAATATCAATTTCTTATTGTCTTGTAGATGATATTTTAAACTATTACCTATTAAAAATTTAAATTTTTTAAAATTTCCTTTAAATATGAGTTTTCATTTTTGTTCAAATTTAAGAGCACATGCCCTACCGGAAGATAACAACCAATATTTTCTATATTTTACCCTGTTTTGGTCAACTAAAAAAAAAAAAATTTCGACCCACCCTACTTATATAACTATCTTAATATATATATATATGGCTCCCTTGATGTAGCCTAAAGCCAAAAGTCAATTTTCAAGTCACAAAGATGCTGAACTATGCATGTGTTAGTCCTGTAATAATTTATATAGCCATTTTTTTATAATATGTTGTATAAGTTTTTAGTTTTCTTGCTCATAATATCCCATTTTTTTACAGGAAGCAGCAAAGTCTTTCATTACAGCATGTAATATTGATGAAGCCCTAGAAAATGCGATGAATAATGTTGTGGATTACAACTACTGTATTGATCTGCAGGGTAACACGTACAAAGGGCGATATGCAAAACCATCCCCTTCAGCCCCTGGCAAAAACCTCAAAATATCTTCTTCTGTAATAGAAGGAGAGGTCAAAGCTGAAGTTAGAAGTTAGTTTTCTGTGTTACTTATGTAGTGTTTCATATGTAACAAAATAAAATACAGAAAATCCCATTCTAAATATTATATATTTAGTTTTTCTCCATGTTTACCCTCGTTTTTCATGATAATTAATTGTGAGGTTTGTTAAGTCACATGGACGTGTAAAATGGACAAATTTTAAAAATCCAAAAATAAGGAGAAAACGTAATCTTACTAATATTATAAATGTGAAAGTTTGTGTGTTTGTTTGTTTGTTTGTGTTTGAAGTTCAATCACGCATAAACCACTGGACGGATTGAGCTGAAATTTGGCATGATGATAGCTTACATTCCCGATTAACATATAGGCATATTCTTATCTCAAAAATCCTTTCGGGCTCTGCCCCAGTGGCTCTGTAATTCCCCATGTTAACCTTATGAGTATTCATATTTAAAGGGAATTAAAGAATTTATAGTTCGGCCGCTTAGAAAACGACCTGCGCGCTAATGCTAAACCAATGCTGGAGGAGGTCGCTTTCTAAGCGGCCGAACTATAGTCAGCTTTTTCAACTAAAAAAGTTGGTTCTATGATATGGAAAAGCATTAAAAAGTTATAAGAATTACCAACAGGGTGCAGCACTATATTTTTTTTTGCATTTATGAAAACAGCTAATTTTAACTAAGCAGCAACAAAAAACTGTGATTCACAATGAGAACTGTCAAAGTAGGATTGTTTACAGTTATGTTTATGTTTTTCATTTCATGAATAATTTGTGATATTTTGCGAATTGTTGATAATTTATTTTTCTCTATTGTTAAGGTGAAGTGGTAGAACATTATGGCTATGGTAGATGTGTAATACTATAGAGTACTGTAAATTTAAAATCCCCCCGCCGCAGCAAACCTGCCGACTAAGCGAATTTCCATTTGTCCAGTTAAATATATTTTAATAACATTAGGTTTAACGAGTACCTAGGTTTGCTGCTATAAGGACACTAATAAAGTGTGTTTTTGAGTAAAATATTGATAGCTTAGTACAAAATAAATAAATTTGCCAAGTTTGATCAAAATATATCCATAAACAAGCAAACTACAACACTTGACATTATTCTCCATAAAAATAACATGGGAATTTTAAATTTAAAATTTTTTAATTTTCTCCGTTACTAATAATCAAACAAAAATACTTTTATATACTAAATTATTTGTTTTTTTAAGCTCTTTAAAAAGGTCTAAAGAGAAATCGGGAAATTTTGTGTTTTGAGGGTCAAAAGTGAGAAAAACCAATTTTTACCCCATAAAACCCCCTGTAAAGCACCGTTTCCATGGTCCGATCGTGCTGGTTCGCGAACTCATTCAAGTTTATCCCGCTTTACACCTTTAAACCAAATTTCATCAAAATCGGACAAAAATTACTCAAGTTATCGCGTTTACGGACGTATATATATACAGGGTGATTGGTACTCAGTGTGACAAAAAGTTTTTGGTGTAAGTACAAAGTAAATGAAGTGTGATGATGCATATAAAATGTTCCAAGTCTAAAAATTAGCTTCCAAAAAAATTATTTTATGTTTTTCAAAAATAACCATGCTTTTAAACTTAATACAGCGATTTCTCAATTACCTGTATATGGATTTGAGTAGATAATGTCATTTTCGTGTTCTACATTAAATTTTTAACAAGAATAATACAAAATGACAGAGGATCAGTTGTAAAAACTCCATTGTAAATAGATTCAAAGATAAAAATTAGGATGTTTGATAAAAATTTTAAAAACGATGGTCTATTGCTTTTTTTACACCCTGTATACAAGAAAGTGTCGGAATATGTTGAAAACTGCGCCATTTTATAAGCTTTCCAACCATATGCTACACTATTGAGGTTTAGATATTTTTTTTGTTTGTTTTAGTGGTTTGAATGCCAGAAAACAGGGAACTTTTTTACTCTTTTACTGTTCAAGCTGAAACAAAAATACAACTTTTGCTTAATACATGCCGACTTTCTATGTTTTAACCCATTGGGGAAGGAATTAATCCGATACCTGCAGCACCCTCTGGCGGCATTTAATTTTACCGAATTTGTAGACTTTTACTCTAACTGCTATAGAAAGAAAACCTTAAGTAATAAATTAATAATTCTTTCACCATTTTGTTCACAGTAAAATTGTCTACAGAAAAGTGTTAGTTGGATAGTCAAAGTTCTAAAATATATATATATATATAGAGAGAGAGAGAGAGATTATAAAAATAAAAATTTTAAAAACAATATTTTGAAAGTAAACTTGATATACAAATTCCAAGATTAATCCAGACACCAAATAACACTACTATTATAAAGGTCAATCGATTCCCTACGTAGAAAAATCAAAAGTTGTGTACTTTTATAAGTAGTAACATTTTTAAAAAATTGTTTGTTTACCTTACCGCAGCTGATTTTTGGTGATATGTGGTTTCCATGGCAACACAAAATTGTTTGTTATTCGTTAAAATTAATGTGTAAATACGCAAATCAAGAAGCAAGATATTTATAAACATTATAATAGTAAGAAGAAACAAAAAGGGCGAAAAATAATAATAACTAAATAAAAAATGGCGCTGCTTAGCGGTGACACAAGTGGCTCTCGTAAGTCGGCCTCCGGGCCTGCAGCGGCCGTACGAGTAACGCTCGTAAGTCGGCGTCAATGGGTTAAATGTTAAAGACACTATGCTTTGTAGTAAACCACGAAAGCGTACATAAGCAGACATAAAGCTCAATGGTGTAGCATATGGTTGGAAAGCTTATAAAATGGCGCAGTTTTTAACATTTTCTGACACTTTCTCGTATACAGGGTGTGAACAAATGCAATTGACCGATGTTTTTTGAATTTTTATCAAACATCCTAATTTTTATCTTTGAATCTATTTACAATGGAGTTTTTACAACTGATCCTCTGTCATTTTGTATTATTCTTATTCAAAATTTTATGTAGAACACGAAAATGACACTATCTACTCAAATCCATTTACAGGTAATTGAGAAATAGCTGTATTAAGTTTAAAACTATGGTTATTTTTGAAAAACATAAAATAATTCTTTGGGAAGCTAATTTTTAGACTTGGGACATTTTATATGCATCATCGTACTGCATTTACTTTGTACTTACACCAAACAATTTTTGTCACACTAAGTACCAATCACCCTGTATATATATATATATGTCTATATATATATATATAAATTTGAACGATTGGTGTTTTTGGCCTCTGGGGACATCAAAATGAAAAAGTAAATCGGTCCCGGGTCTAGGTCTTACCGTGCCACCTACGGTAATAGCTACTTCCCTATAGGGAAATTCGCTAAAAACAAATTTTATCAAACTGTGTCCTCCCTTATTGCAAACGCAAAGCTTGAGTATAACTGCAATAAGCATTTTATACTTATATTCCAACCCCGTATGAAGGACGGGTACTCTGCTAGTAATTAATAATTTATGAATCATTCAAGGGGTGTTTTAAATAAAATGCATGAATTTAAAATCTTTCTGGAGGGGCCAATTATTAATGTAGGTGTCCTATGTTGAATCAAATCTTCTATATAAATAATACACACCAACACAAAATTTGTCCTTTGAACTCCTTCGCCATAACTTAATTGATTTTAACCATTCTCGTCTCATTAGAAAGGGTGTGTTGCGTAGATTTGCAGTTTTTAAAAAGTCCCTTGGGCTCTGCCCCAACAGATTTTAAAGTTCCCATGTTATACTAAAGAAGAACATATTATTGTTTACATTATGACCAGCAGGATGATTAAATTGCTGTTAATAATAATTAACAAGCTGCTATACCTGTGCTTTGCAACGGGATCAAAATGTGACCTAGAGAGCTATTAAAGTGGTGCTGATGTGTGTTTTAAAATACAGCAACTCTATGATTTAGTTTGAAAATATAAATTGATTTGAAAGCGTAAACCTACTTACTTTCAAACCCCTACTTTTCATGTTAGTAGATCCCTAAGAATATGACAACATACCTTAGTGTAGCAATAGCATCAATTGCTTCATATTGATGGTTCATGAATGACATGTTTAACCATAATTCTTCAATATTAGTCAAGCCTCTTGACATGTAGCTTAATCTTAAATTAAAAAATGAAACTTTGAGCAATACTTTACAAAAATTATTCAACCTCTTTTTAAAACCAAACATAACCCTCCTCAATCTACATAGCTCACAACACAAACATCTTTTTCGAGTAAATAAACAAACACCAGTTCATTGTACTGACCAGCTGTTTCATTAACTAAATTAAATTAAATCATTTAAACATTGAAAGCATGCCAGGCGTAGCCCTTTGGAAATCAGCCTGTGGGGCAGAGCCCTTAGGAACTTCGTCCATATTAATACTTTTCGGCAAATCTACACACTCTAAACTTCATTTTGATGTGCCAGATGCTTATATTTTTATTTGGTAAATGACCTTAACCGTTTACATAAAATTTGATTGTATCACCATAGATAAAACATACTCCCTTAGTAGATTTCTCATCCTTATGGAACAGCTGAAGACAATTTTATTGTTAGTTCATGTACGGTTTATGTAGAGGTCGTGTTTTGTTTACAATTTGTTTCCCGTTATTACAGCCATTTAAAACCTCGTTTAACCAAATAATACGATCTAATCATAAACAATAACTTGTCCCCTAGCCATATAACCAAACAGTAAAGCACAAATCAAGAAATTAACCCTAAAATAATGGAAACAAAGTTTCATAGACACTAGCGCCTTTGTGTCACGTACATGAACTAGACATGAAAAACGTGCTTCAAAATTTACAATGGGATGAGAAGTCTACTTTGTGTTGGTTAGTCTATGGTATCACTTTAATAATATAATAGATATTTATTTTGCAATTCAAGGAAACACATGCATGAATATTTATTGATTTGGTTGAAATTTGCTATTTAGGTGTGCATATTACAAATGGAAAAAATCTAGCAAGCCTTAAAAATCTATACTTATTTAATACGCAAGCAGGTTTTTTGTGACAATTACTCCTCCGAAACTACTGTACCGATTGACATGTTTTTGGTGTCATTGGAAAGAGCTTAACGTGAAGTTGTGCAGGAA